GCAACTTCATCTGCAGATGTTGTCTGTTTAGTAGGCATCTGCAGATGAAGTTGCAGGGATATCAGTTCATAGCAAATTTATCGTATGAATTTACCACAGCAACTTCATCTGCAGATGCCTACTAAACAGACAACAACAGGAGGACACAGTACACCCTAACTCACTGCCCTACAGGAGTAGATTAACAATCACTTCATTGGAGGCCTCAATGATGATGTCACCTAGCATGGTGACGAAACAGCTGAACGAGAACAAACCAGCTCGGCGAACAAGTCAACAAGGATATTATCAGTATCATGTTTTGTAATTGCTACTATCCTTACTGTCCAAGAATCATTCATGCATCAGGTTTTCCTCCAGGTGCATTATTTTATTTGTTCTAATGAGCTTTTAGATAAAATCTCCCAGTGACAACCTTGCTATCAGACTGAACTTTTGTGCTATTAGCAGCATGACTGAGATACACTTCCTGTCCCTCCATCCTGAGCACATCACAGATCACTTTAAAGACTGACTTCAGAAGTTCTGGAGGTTAAACTCCCCACTTTCAGTCTGACAGAAAGATTGTTAACAGGAAGCAAATGGAAATTTAACTATTCTAATGAGACTAGTTCCTCATATTTAACCACAATTTTAAACTTAACTATTGCAAGAGGTAAAGGCCTTTATCAAATTGTTTACTGATTTCAATTTACCTGCTTCACTAACTACCCACAAAATCCAATATAACCTCTTCACCTGGCCTCCAATCTGAACCTCCAACTCTTTCAATTTTTGCCATGATCCTGGCCTCTGACCTTCAATTTCCTTCCTGAGGCTTTTTGATCCATCTACCACATCACACCTGACCCTTTTTAATATCCTCTGACCCACTTTCCAATGTGAATCTGATCTCTAATACCCTGCTAACCCCAGCTTCCAACCTGCCTGTGGTCCAAAATCAATTTTTCTGATGTGCTTCTGTCCTGGCGAGATAACTAAGTTGCCTGGACTGTATATCCTGGTCCTCCTTCTGTCTCTAGGGACTCCAATCTTCCTCTCTCAACGTTCTCAATCTGCCTGGTTCCAGATTCTGACTTGCTGCCCCATTGCTATTCTGTCTCATTACCATAGCAGATTTTAGTTAATAAGAAACTCAAAGCTTGATTAACTTTAAAGCCAGATTTGACCCATTTTATTTTATGAATTTACCCTGAAATGAAAATAATCTAGGACTTGGTCTGCAACAACAACCACTTACATTTGTAAAGCATCTTCAATAAAATGATCCAAGATGACTTAAAGGAGTGATGAATCAAAATTTGATACTGACTTAAAACAATTATTCAGACCGGGCTTAGTCAAAGAGATAGGTTTTAAGGAGTATTCACCATTTAGAGACAACAATGGCATCTCCCCAACGCTGTGAAAAATTGCTCATACATATCCTCTCCAGAAAAAATGATAAATCCAACCTAGCCATTAACACCCCATCAGTCTCCTCTCACTCATTGAAAAAAGTGATTGATAGTGTTGTCAACAGTGCTAACTCAGGATTATCTTCTCACCAATGCTCAGCTGAGATTCTATCAGAACCACTTGGCTCCAAATATCATTACAGTCTTTATCCAAATTTGAAGAGTTAGATTCTTGACTTGCGAGTGACTGCCTTCCCCATCAAGGAAGCTGAAATAACTGTGCAGAGGGTGGTTCCCGTCACATTTTATCTACACGTGTATAGTACATGAGCAGCTCAAAGCCAGTCCCTTGATTGAGGAGACCTTCTGAATCTCATGTTTATATCTGTCAGCCAGGGCTCCCTGATTCGCCCAGGTTAACAATCCTAATCAAGGATCTCATACTCAATGAGATTCACCTGGCCCTGATTCCAGTCACTATAGAAGCATTTGACTAAGTACGACATCAAGGGACTTCTTTAGCAAAATTGAAGTCAATGGGAATCTCTTGGAAAACTGTCCACTGGCTGGAGTCATTCTAGCACAAGGATCATGATTTTCGCAGTTGAAGACTCCAGGTAATTGAAGTCTTGGCTCCAGAGCGTTTTTTGGAGAAATTTCTCAGAAGTGTCCTAGGCCCAACCTTCCTCATTGCTGCTTCATTGATGACCCTTCCTCCTTCTTCACAAGGCCAGAAGTCTGATGGTAGTTGTTGATTGCTGTGTTCAGTCTAATTCAGAAGTATCAATATCACTCCTTTTACCCTATCATACCAGTAGTGTTCTGTCCCAGCGTGTACACAATTCTATCACATAAGAGTATTTAAACAAAACAGTCAAATACAAAGACGTAGATTTCTATTTCTAAATTCTTAACGTGGTTAAACATAGTTTATTTCAAACAGTTTGGAAATAAGCATCTCACCAACTGCACAGTAAACCTATTAAATTGTCATAGTATTGGAGACAGGTAGGGAGAGGAAATGTGATGTTAACCATTCTTTAGTATTTGTTATTCTAGTACATACAACCAGTGAGTCAGCAACAATACTTGGATGTTGATGTAGATATAAATTTTAATATAAAATTCATGCATTTGCTTCAATTAGCAATAAGATTTTGGAATATGGTTTTTGTTTAATGGCACGCAATCACTGCTAATTCTGGACTCCTGTCAAAGTTATTTGAACAAAGGAAGGGATAAAAGCAGATCACCCTATTCCCGCAGTCTAGTTTCTGGCTAAGCTGAAAAGGCCTAAAATTAGAATGATAACCTGTCCTCTTGGTCTGAAATGCTGTGGCTGCCAGACGTGACCTAAAAACAGATTTTTTTTAACAGATTAGATCTAGGGGAAGGAAAGATAAGGTGAAGTAGTTCCACTCCAAATTAACTCCTGAATTAAACTGTTACAAACTTAAGTTCAGATTGCCTCCTAGAAGATAATTATTTTGTCTTCTGCCTCTGCAGATGCGGTAATGTTATGATTCCGAAGAATGATGATGGAACAGTGCGTTACGCTAATATTGATTACAAGGATACCTGGCAAGCCATGGAAAAACTACTAGAAAAGGGTTTGGTCAAGGCAATTGGTTTATCCAACTTCAACTCAAAGCAAGTTGATGACATATTATCTGTTGCAATTTACAGACCTGTTGTTAACCAGGTTTGTGTCAATGTGAATATTGTCAGACTTCCTTTTATCTCTTAGAAACCCTTTGTTGTGGAACATGTATGCTGTCATTAAATATGTATCATACAGTGCAATAAAAATGGAGCACAAGTACAGGCAAACAATAACTGAAGAATGTACAGGAGATTGGAATGAACCATCACAAGGCAGTGGATGTATGGGATTCATTCCAGCTAGCTATCTTTGAGATATCACTCTGGTCCTTGCATTCAGAAAACCCACAGAAGCAAAGTTAAACTTAGTAGTCTCCTTTTTTTTTGGGTGCTGCTAGTGATGATGTTCTAAAATAACATGCACACTGTGTATACGTACTATTGATATAAAGCATCTTGATAAAGGTAAACATTTTGGTGCATATGAATCAAATATACAGAGCAAGTAGATCATGATATCTATCAATGTGTTAAACTGGTTTGATGCAAACTTTGCCATTTTGCAACTCCATGTTCCATCCAGTTCCCCTCTCTTAATCTCACACAACTGAAGCAAAATTTAATGACCTTGCCAGTAGTTCTACTTTAATGGATCATCAGCTACTTATAGGTTCGTTGCTGGTTTTCCTCTTCTGACTGTTGCCATAATTTTACTGCTTTCCATAGTTGTTTTAAAGTTTTAGAAATGTACAGGGAGCAATATCGCAGGTACTGAAAAGATTTTTTGCTGAATTCAAGTCTTGTATATTAACTAAGTGCTCCGAGACTTGAACATGCACTCTCCTTGGAGTCCTGAGAAAGGTTGGTGAATAAGCAGAGGTCACTCAGGGTGGAACAACCTGCCAGGTGGGGAAGAACGCAAGCTACACGGCCTCTTCCTGTTCAAACTCAATAACCTCAACCTCAAATCACCTTTTCATCAACAGTACCACAATCCTGATCTTTACATTGCCACCAACACTTTTTTCTCTTGGCCATAAGGCAAGTACAAAATACATATTCCAAATCAACTTCATAAATTAAATCATGCCATTATGTATCCAAACTTAAAGTTATCTTGGTTTCCTTGGTTAATTTCCTAATACTGCTACAGTACTGTCCTAATTACTGTGGTGAGGTTGGTGAAAGTGTGCACACTTTAGTGGAGGACATTGTCAATGATCTTGGAGGACAACATCAAGCTGCTGTGAGTGTAGAAAGGCCCAATTTGGAATTGCACCATATCTGCATGGTCACTATCAGCCTATGCTGGCAGGCAGGCAGGGGCAGTGACAGAGTGATAGTTTTGGGAAGAAAAATGTTGTTATCCTAAGAGAAGTCAGCAGTTTGTCCTCCATGGAACCACTGCCACTCCCCTGGGGCAGTACCTCAACAATCCTAGTCCATTGTGGTAGGACCAAGAGCTAAGGTACTATGATACCCTTCAACCCCCTTTTGAGTGCTAGTATCACAGCTAGGATGGCAGCTAACTGACCATGAGTAACAGCACTAAGGGTTTTCTGCTGTGAAAGTTGCAATATGAGCTACCAGATGCGGTATCATGCTTAGAGACAATCTGGGTGAATGGAATTGATCACCATAAAAGGATGGGGTCCAGGCTTTATATGAAGCCCTGTGCCCAAGGCAGTACCAAACTCTTCAATTTTCCTTGATATTGAACATAGATTTTCTGAGTGCACCAATCATTTCATTGCGTATATCCATCCAGCAGTCCTGTTCTGTAGTGTGGCACAACAATGACCTTATCTACTCTGCAGCAGAACTCATCTGCAACCCCAGTCTCTAATGAGTTGGCACAAATGCTTTCCTATCGCTCCCATCCTGGCTTTGGGTCAACAATATCCCACCTCTTTTCTATCTACTAACCTTGATAATGTGCACAGTGTCAGTATCTGTACAGGTGGCAGCGTGTGTATTCAAGAAACAATGTGTTTTCATCGTTGTCTTTATGGATTGCCTCCACTGCCTGACCTAGTTGTGGATCTTGGGTATCTGTGAGGAGAAAAAGCATTACGTTCAGGTTGTGTTTAGGATAGTGTGGAAAATTAAGAGGTATGTGCTTATAATATCCACAGATTGTAAATCAGAAAGGCTTATAAGCTGTGAGAAGGTGTATTAGGAATGAAGAAAATGTCACCCTTAATATGGGAAACTGTGGTGTAATGGTATTGTCACTAGACTACAAATCAGGTTAATGTTCTAGGGACGAATTTGAATCCCTCTGTGGCAAAGGGTGAAATTTGAATTTAAGGAAGATCTGAAATTATAAACTAGCCTAATGGTAACCATATAACCAATGTTGTTAAAAACCATCAGGTTCACTAGAGTCCTTTTAGTGTCTTCTTTACCTAGTCTGGCCTACATATGACTCCATGTCCATAATGTTGTTGACAATTAACTGCTCTGTTAAATGACATAATGAGCTAATCAGTCCAAGGCAAATTAGAGCAATAAGCGCTGGCTCAACCAGTGATATCCACATTCCATAATTTGAGTAAAAATATACTGTGCAAGTCTAAAAGAGATTTTAGTAAATATTTGGTGAAAAATGTTATTATTGGGACAAACAGAAAGCCAATGATCTACCTCAGCCTCCTCCTGAAAACTCCACTCATACAGAACCCAACACAGTCTTATTGTTGGTGCTATTGAGAAATGGCTGAAGGTGCTGGATACAGCAAAGACCATGTAAACTTACAACATCCCAGATATAGTACTGCAGACGGGGGTTCTGGAACAAGCTAGGTTCCTAGTTGATATCAGCAAAATGATCACCAAAGCCCGACCTTCAACATTCTGGGGCCACCATTGAATAGAAGCTTAACTGGACCAGCATATAAAAACTGTGGTTATATGCACAAGTCAGAGACAGAGTACTGTTTGAGGAGCATCTTGCTTCCTGACTCTTCAGAGATTTTCCACTGTTTATAAGGCACAATGTCAGAATATGATTCCCACGTGCTGGGTGAGTGCAGTTCTATTGTCACTCAACTAACTTGACACCATCCCAGACACCTTCCACTACCAGAGCACCATTGCACCATAAATAAATCAGGACTAGCCACTGAAGAGATTTAGAACTATAATTAGATACTGTGCTTTTCCTCATCAAGAATTGAAAATTCTTTGGTTTTCTATTACAGGTAGAATGTCACCCATACTTGATCCAAAAGCAGCTCGTGGATCATTGTACAAAACAAAAAATTGTTGTTACAGCATACAGCCCTCTTGGATCACCTGATCGACCCTGGGCTGGCCCTAGTGATGCAAAACTGCTGGAAGATCCAAGAATCCTGAAAATTGCAGAAAAATATAGAAAATCCCCAGCTCAAGTTATTATACGGTGAAGTGCCATTTTGATGTGTAAAAGATTAAATCTCATTAAAAAATATATTTAGTTCCTTTTCGTAAGATTATATTTTCACAACTAATCCTTATGTATTTCTACTACTTGACTCACTAACTCACTCTGCTTTTAAATTGTGCTATATTCCAAAGATGAGCATTGGTAAGATAACATTATCTCCAATTTGACTTTCTTCTCATTAACTTAACTTTCCACTTTCATCATTTCACTTTGTTTGTTCGAGTTGTTTTACAGAACTGTAAAATTAGTTAGTATGACATCCAAGAGCAATCTGGTCAAAAGTAAAAGAGGTGAGATAAGAATATGCAGCTGTTAGTTGCTATAATGTAGTAGGATGGTAGGATGGTGGGAGCAGATTTAATAGGAACTTTTAAGTGAATTGTGTGTGTGTGTGTGTGTGTGTGTGTGTGTGTGTGTATATTTGGTATGGAAACATTTGCAGGATTATGGGGAAGGTACTGGAGAAAGAGACTGATTGGATAGCACTTCACAAGCTCAATGGGTCAAATGACCTCTTCCATGCTGTAATGTTCTAGAATTCTATAACATAAATGCTGTGCCCACACTTCCAAGTTATGGCAATATCCAAGCAGAATTGTTTGAAATCTATCCAGATTCACCATACAGACCCACTAGTAGGTGTTTAACCACATTGGCACCAGCAAGGGATTGATGTCAGGTGTGGGAAAAACCCTCCCAATCATATTTCCATAAAGCGCTAAACTAATTTATTTCCCCAAAATCTGTGTACACCAGGAATCTTGCTGTGACCCTGCATTGCATTTTGCACTAAGGGCATTGCTCTTAATGCAAAATATCCAAAAATTGTTTTAATTCTGGCTTACATTGAGCAAAAACTGAACTGGACCAGCCAAATAAATATGGTTACAACCGCAGGTCAGCTGCTGGGAATTCTGCAGTGAATAATTCACCTTCTGACTCCTCAAAGCCTGTCCACTGTTTACCAAACACAATAGGAGCCAGAAGTTTGATGGAAAATTCTGATGTGTCCAGCTCTAACAACATTCAAGAAGCTCCACACCCATCCATGACAAAGCAGCCAACTTGATTGGCACCACATCTAACACCTTCAACATTCACTCCGTCCATTACCAATACAGTGGCACAGTGCTGGCAGATGGCAGCATCATGTAGCTGTGGTAAGTCACCAAGGCTACATTGACAGTGCCTTCCAGCCCTGTGATCTCTACCACATAGAAGGCCAAAAGCAGCAGCTAAATGGGAAACCACCGTCTGCAAGAACCCTCCGAAACGCACATTATCCTGACTTGGAACTGTATTGCCATTCCTCCACTGTCAGTTAGTCAAAATCCTGGAACTCCCTCCCTAACAGTACAGTGGATATCATATACAAAACATGTTAAGGGGCTTAACAGAGTAAATGCTAAAAGAATGTTCCTGTTCATGGGAGAGTCTAAGACAAGAGGGCACAGTCTCAGAATATGTACATATTTAAGGCTAAGATTCTTGGTCAATGGGGTAATCAAGGGTTATGGGGAAGCTGCAGGAAAGTGATGTGAGGAATGTCAGAACAGCCATGATTGTATTGAACAGTGGGACAGGCTTGAGGGGCTGAATGGCCTACTCCTATTCCTATTTCTTATGGTCTTTTCACTACACTCCAACTGAAACAGTTCAAGAAGACAACTCACCACCTTCTCAAGGACGATTAAGGATGGGAAATGAATGTTGGTCTAGTCAACAAATTCTGTGAATGAATTATTTTTTAAAATCTACATCTTAAATGATATGGTTAACTTCACTGTGACTGTTATTAAGCAAAACACAAAGCAAAGTTGTTTCAGCGGCGGGAGTCCGGGAGGAAGCGTGAGGGCAGCCTGGGAAGGTGAGCTTTTCGGTTATAAAAGTCTTACCT